AGACATGGACTGGACAATATTCTAAGGGGCGTACATGGTTATTCCAAGTCATAAATACTATGAGCAGGATGGACATGGAAGGATTAAACAGACTGCCATATTTCTTCATTTCTTCATTACAATAATGTTTTCCAGGTGGGTTCTTTTCATTTTATTGATTTTACTAATTTATCCATTTTATTTTGACTAGGTCCCTACTGTATTTCTATTTTATTTTATTGTTACTTTCTTTATTATTTATTTATATTATTATTGCGATAAAACCCTGATATTATTTTTTTTCCTTTTTTATGTATGATATTCCTGACTGAGAAAACAAGCCCTACGTTCAGATGAGTTCGGCCAAATTTGACGCGAAGGATGTTGAAAGTTTGCCAAGCCTCCAAGAGTCCGTCTGCCAATCTTCCAAAGGGGCGTCTGTAAGGGTCCTGTAGTATATAAACTTTTAAATTCAAATTTGGCGCTATTTTAACTAAGGAAAATTTAAATAATCCACTAAAAATAATATTATAGTTTTAAGATATTTTATGTTTTAAAACCCTATTGAGTTTTAAAGTTTCACTTCTTTGTATCTCAACGTAGAAATATTATGAAGACTGTTTATGTTGGACATTCTTGCTTAAGTGGCCGAGATGTTTAAAAGCTAGATTAGGAAATAGAATACACACAGAGTGTTTTTGCTCTCCCTTCGAGATACTCCTGTGAAACAGTTTGTGAGATATATTATAATATAATATAGTTATAGTTTTTGTGATTGTTACCGATTTTCTGCTATAACTAGGTATGTACTCTTTTAAAAATTGTAAATTTGCTAGTAATGATAAACAACTCCTCATTTTTTGCTTATAATTTGCTTATAATTTTGAACAATATTATTTAATTCGCATTTTTGTCTATGACGTTTATCATTGCTAGTTTATTGGGTCCTAATCATTTTAATATGTGTAAATAGCGAGTGATTTTTGGTAATAATTTTTATTGTATCACTATTTCATTATTTTGGTTTAATACCTTGGTATCTCGCATACACTGAGTTCTAATCTTTATGTTGTCGCGTTCATCATATACACTGAATTAATTACATTTAACTTAAATTTTAATATTTTGTATTGTCTTTATTTTGAGTTACACTGGCCTTGATTTTGCTGTTTCCTTTTGTATAACTTTGTATAACTTTTATTTAACTGAAATGTATTTTATTGTTTTTGAAACTCAGTGTATAATCTCGGTATTAAGGTATTTATTTATTTTAACTCTTTGCATTTGTACTCAGGCTAAAGCTTTAAACTATTATATTACTATTACAATATTGGTATTATTTGGGTAAGGTTTATAAAATATTATTATTATTATTATTATTATTATTATTGCTCTTATTATTATTATTAAATTTGATATTACCATTAGGTCATATCATGGTAAGGTAATAGTATCGTTTAACCTTTTGATAGATTCTGGATAGAGACTTTGATTTAAACTGCTTATCTTAGCGCTTTATTTGGAATATTTGATAATGGCTTTAACGTTACTATATATGATAAAAATCTCTTTATGTTATTATTCAGCGCGATACTTTCTGGTGGTTAGAGTTTTGGCCATGTTCAGGTGTTTCTTGTTATGACTCTCTCCTATTTATTATTTTATTGTATTTTATTTATATATTATACCATTTTATTTTATTGCCTATTGTTTATTTTATTTGTGTCTGTATTTGTACTTGTATTTTCGTTTGGAGAGTGCTCATACATGAATATTTGAACATGGGTAATATATTAGCATTATTTCAAAAGGACTTATCCTTAGAAGAAAAATAGTGTTTCTATGTTATTACCTATATAAACTCTGTGTGCAGAATTGTTTGTATATTTTCGCAATACTTTTGTCTTGTTCTGGGCATTGATTTTGTAAGAATATTTGAACATATTGTGATATAGCGACACTTTAGTGAGATAGGACCACCATAGCTGTCGTTATATTACTTCGCAGAGTATGCAATTGTTCCATAGTGTGGTTATTGGCTACGGTTAAATATCGGCACTTGGTTAAAGCATATGAATTCTCTCTATCAGAAATATGTCGTTGCTGTAGTTTATTTATATAAAATCGTGTCTTCGTTCAATAGTTCGAAGATGCGTGGTAAGGTAATCAAATAAACAAACACTTCATCATAAAATGACGATCTCTATTATAACTATTTTACCTGAGTACAAAATGTTTTGAATATTGATAAAAACACCCAAATTATATGAAATATGTTTATCTGCTTTTCATGTTATTTTATTCACTCATTATTTATACTGTATTCTTGTGATTGTGACCCATATGACTATATTTTGTTTTGTATTTTATTTTTATTTGAACTGTATAAGTCGACAGGGTTTTTATGGTCCCTTTTCCCTGTGTTTTGACTCAACGGGCCACCCCTTTGTCTTTGCTTAAATTAAATCAGGGGTTTAAAAATTAAATACTTTTGTTTCATTAAACCTGACCAATTTCAAAATAACGTTATTATCAATGTAAGTAAATACACAACGTAGAGTCCTAATTTGTATAAAGTAAGTAAATTAACTAGACGATCACGAATATGCCAAAATAAGTATTTCAGTATACTTAAAGAATCGGGTTACGAAAATACATAGTGGACATTACAAACCTTTGACGTATACATTTATGTTCCCTTAATTAATATATCCTTAAAGGTTGCCATGAAACTCAGTTCTATTAAAAATTTATTTGACGTTTGAATTGTCATTTTCAGTATACGTATTCTATAATTTTTGTTTAGTTTTTAAAGTGTTTTTATAAACAAAAATGAAAAATTGTAGTTAAAGTTACGAAGAAATTCATGAAATTTAACTAAGGACCGGTTTATTCATCTTTAGTAAAGTTTATCGGGCCGATAACTTTCATGTCTTGGCAATATCTAGTATCCAAAGAAATTATTCGTCAAATAAATCAAAAATGAATAAATCGGCCCTAAATAAAATGTGGCACCCTTAGGCCCAGTTGTATAACAGTTGGTTAACAGCTGGTTAACTCTTGATAATAATTATGTAATGATTAAGCTAACTTTTAAGTTGTATAAACATTGATTAAAATTTAATTAAGTGATCAACATACAATTAACAAATCGGTGAATTTTGTGTGGTTAACGCCGGGTTAGAACACACATAACCTTATAAATGTCAACGTTTAAAAATTTTCATTATTTTTTTTGTTGGTAGTTGATGCAGATTTTTTTATAATTAGTAGAAATTGTTATTTTTCCTAGAAAACCGAAACTTTCGTGCTAGACCTGAATATTTTACAGATTTAAATATAGAAAAATACAGAAACAGATTTCGTCTTTCAAAAAATATTATAACTTGTTGAAATAACTAAACTAATACAAAATTAGCGCTTTCTTCTAGGCAAATGATTGAATTAAGGACCGGTTTATTCATCTTTAGTAAAGTTTATCGGGCCGATAACTTTCATGTCTTGGCAATATCTAGTATCCAAAGAAATTATTCGTCAAATAAATCAAAAATGAATAAATCGGCCCTAAATAAAATGTGGCACCCTTAGGCCCAGTTGTATAACAGTTGGTTAACAGCTGGTTAACTCTTGATAATAATTATGTAATGATTAAGCTAACTTTTAAGTTGTATAAACATTGATTAAAATTTAATTAAGTGATCAACATACAATTAACAAATCGGTGAATTTTGTGTGGTTAACGCCGGGTTAGAACACACATAACCTTATAAATGTCAACGTTTAAAAATTTTCATTATTTTTTTTGTTAGTAGTTGATGCAGATTTTTTTATAATTAGTAGAAATTGTTATTTTTCCTAGAAAACCGAAACTTTCGTGCTAGACCTGAATATTTTACAGATTTAAATATAGAAAAATACAGAAACAGATTTCGTCTTTCAAAAAATATTATAACTTGTTGAAATAACTAAACTAATACAAAATTAGCGCTTTCTTCTAGGCAAATGATTGAATTAACTTTACGATTTTTGGTAATGGGTTCATTTTGCATTCTACCTGTTTTTATATTTTTTAACTACCTATTCAAAGCAATAGCCAAGATTTTTTTCCACTAAAGTTAGAGAACCTTTTACCACAATCTTTCATTTTTGACCATCAAGCCTATGCTAAAGCCATTTTTTTGTATAATTTGTACAAAATTTTAAAACCTTTAACCAAAAACACAAAACACACCTGCAAGAAGAAATGTAAATAAAGCTACTTACAATTGCACATAAATGTATGCAATAAATAAATAAATACCAATATACTTACTAAAATCTTCCTAAACAACAAAAATTATTAATATTAATTTGAGGACATGGTTAATTTGAAAATTTCGAAAATTATGACATGACAAATACGAAAATTTGGTGATTTTTTAGTGAATTCCCCTAAATTTGAAAATTAACTAATTAAAACATAACCAAGTGTTGCACAACAAAATTTTCTTTAACCAGCTAATATTGATTAATCCGTAATTTATTAATCTGTTGTTAATCGGAATTTTATACAACTGGGCCTTAGAATTATTGTTTAATAAATGTATACTATACATTTAACCTTAAATTAAAACTTTAAACGTGTATTACAACAAAACAGTAAAAGATATAAAAAATGTATAGACCTTTTTTTAAGGAAATTAACTAATCTTTAATCTGATTTAAAAAGTTATGATAATATTTAAATAAAATCGCAAGTTTTAATTGGAGAATTAAAAGTGTGCATACATATTTTTAATAAACATCCAATTAAAACAAAATTAACCGTCAAAATTTTTTTATTTTGCTCTTAAAATTTTAGTTATGACCTAATTAACAAGAATATAAAAAAAATTAGGTTTCACAAAAAGTCCAAAAATCACCTCTCAGAACAGCACCGTGTGTAGTGATTTAAAAAATTGTTTGAGAAACGTATGACAAAAATTTTAACGACAAACTCGTATGCGTAGCGAAGCTTTAAAATATATTAATTTTTTTAACAGAAATCGACAGTGAATTCGTCGACAACCTAAAAATCCTGGTTCCAATGCTTTTGGCGCCGGAAAATTTGGTATTAAAGAAAATAAACGGCGAAAAAGTAAAAGCCAAAGATTTCGTCCAGTACTGTAAATGCTATATGGAAATTTACAAAGGAAATGAGCTTCCAGAGCCTAAATCCATGCTTGTTGTAAGTAAATTATCCTTACATGAATTACCCAAAAATGTTTTTGTTACATTATAGGCAACTGCCGAAGCCAATAACCTCTCTGCAGTGGCTGATTCAAAGGATATGTACGTACAACTTATGGAAGACGTTTGTGGTGGTACCAAACCGTTCTTGAACGAAGATTTAATGGAACAAGAGCACAAAAAGTTTAAGGACAAGGCTTTGAATCAGTTTGATAACAAGAAAAAAATGGGAGGAGAATCTTTTAGTGCCAAATACAAGGAACAACTTGAAAAGGTCAGTTCTAAGTTTATTTGACAAGCATTAATATCAACTATTTTATACCATTTTTTAGGATATCGATGACACTTTTACGCAATTTAAAGCCCATAATGAGAGCAAGAACATTTTTAAAGCAGCTCGTACCCCAGGCGTTTTCTTTGGCATATGCGTGCTCTGTTACGTCATGTCCGGTGTGATGGGACTCATCGGCATCACCAGTCTGGCCAACATATTCACTTTGGGAGTGTACGTCTGTTTGCTGACGTTGGGATTGTGGGCGTACATTGGGTATGTTGATTTTTGCTGTTGCTTTTGTAATTGTTTTGTTTTTAATTTATGTGGTGGGTTTACAGGTACAGCGGTGAGATGCGCGATGTGGGGTCTTATTTGGACGAGGTTGCCACGTTTATCTGGGAGAATGTAAGTTGTATTATTATTATTTATTACATAGTAACCATTTATTAATCTATTTAATGATATTTTTATAAAGATAATTTTAAATTATTTTTGAATTTCTATTAATTTTATTATGTGGTTTCTCAGCATGCCTACTTCAAAAAACGGAAATTGAGGAAACGTAAGAAATATATAATTTTTATTCCTGTTGATTTATTTTATCACTGTTGAAACAATTATTTTTTTCTATTAGTTTTTGCAATTTTAATATTTATTATTTGTGGGTAAGAAATTAACTTGGGTTTTCCAATTATTTTTTTATGTTAGGTGTTTTACTACCAAGCAAAAGTATTTAAATTTTTTATAATTGTGTTTTATCTAAAAAAAACAAGGGGTGTCTTGAAATTTATGATTTTGGTCCATTTCTTTCTATAGAAATCATTTTCAAATTTCGAAAATTGTTGAAAATCGTCAAAAATTGCATTGAAATTTTATACATTGTAACTCAGCCATTTTTCATCCGAATCATTAATCGAAAAACAAAAAAGAGTATGTTGTTCGTGTTTGGCGCATCCAAGTTATCCTAAAAAAAATGTAGAAAAAAGTTTTTAATTTTTTTAAATTGAAATTTGTTAAACAGAGTTATTAATAATACTTAATAGAAATAACTATTACTCATTTATTTATACTACTTAATGGGTCAATGCAGTTTTAAAATAGATAATCATGAAAAAAATCATTTCCAGATTAAAGGTAGGTTAATATATTATAACAAAAATATCATCAAATTTTGGAATTTTAAGGTTAGAAAAGTTCATTTTGACTAAAATAAATAAGTATTTTGGATTATTTAAAAGACTGTTTAATTTGGTATTTAAAAATGTGGTTTTTCTTATCCAGCTTAAAGTGTATCTACATAAAGTTTTATCAATACAAATAGTTAAAAAGCTTCAACTAAATTTGATCTACATTGAAAAATCATTATAACTTTAAAAATTTTAATAAATCACATGTCATGGGAGTATTAAATATTTTCACATTGCAAGTTTCTCTAAAAATTGTTTGTTTTCTTATAATCTAATTAAAGTGGTATGCACAAGTTTTGTCATTAGAAGTATAAAAGCTTCATTTTAATTTGAACCATATTCAAAAATTATTTAGTATACTTTATATTTATTTATGACCAAATTAACACACTCTTCCAAATAATCCACTTATTTATTTTGGTCAAAATAGATTTTTCTAACCTTAAAATACAAAATTAGATGAAATTTTTTATTCTAATACATTAACCTACCTTTGATACAGATATTCTTATTTCATAATAGAGAAGTTAGATTTTTTTAATAAATGCTGTTTAGTTAAAACTATTTTATGGAGAAACGTAGACCCAATGCACAAAAATATCACTTATATTGCACCTTACACTTTGGAATTTCATTAAATGCAGTATTTATATTCCTAAATTCTTAAACCAACCATGTTATTGTGATACTATAAAGATTTATTAACTTTTAACGTTTAAACATAAGCGGTAACACTATTAATATGATTTCTATAATTGACTATACTTTGACAGATACATAACCTGAAAAGCCTTAAATGCCAAATTTTCAAAAGACTGCGTTCCGTACTTGGTCACGTGGTGGGACTTTGAGGTGTGGAGCATAGTACGTCCACATATTGCGAATTGTCAACTTAATAAAATTTAGGTTATATCAAAGCTTACATAAATGTCTGTGGTTTGGCTTTATAAAAAGCAAAAAGGGCCATAAATGGCATAATATATAAATGGCATAAATGGCAAAAATCTCACACAATGGATAAAAACAATGCCAAAACAATTGGTATACAACAGAAAACCGACAAAATGGTTAATTATTGAAACCATCTACATATTAATATGTCTATGATAAAAACCTTTTGGCTACGTGGTAGAAATACGACGTTGCCATATTCTTGCTGTTATAACATGTCATTATAAAATCTCAGCCATTCCACGCTACTCGGGAATTTTTGTACCGTCCGTTACAATCAAAAATTGTGAGTAAAAGCTACCGTAATTAAATTAAATACTGTTACAATAGTTAATATTGCACACATGTTTATTATGCTTGTAATAATTGGGCTTAATCTTATAAGCATAATAATTAAGGTAGTTTTACTCACAATTTTTGATTGTAACGGACGCTACAAAAATTCCCGAGTAGCGTGGAATGGCTGATCTAAAATATCACCATTTTTTGAGTTTAATATTGTTAAATGCTTTTATTTATATGATTTATATACAATTTATTAAGAAGTATTTATTTTACTTTCAAAATAGTGATAAAAATGTCATTTTTTTTTAAACCGGCAATGCCGCCTCAATGCAATCACCCGTGTGATTGGAACTTCCCCTACTTTAACCCCACGAAAAGGAGTTAGAAATGATTTGTATATGTGTGGAAGTAGGGGGTCGTTTATATACCAAACGTTTCCGTGTCATTCTGTTCCTAATAGTTTTAATAATTTACAAGTATTTTTGTAAACAGTGGTGGATTTAGGCCTAGACCCGAGCCTAGGGCAGTACAATTCTAGGGGCAGCAAAATCCAAAAAAAACTAACAAAACCGTAAACTTTGAATAACAATCGTCGATTTTGTCACCTTTTAAATTTTTCTTTGCATTTCAAATTTTGCCTCCCCTAAAACCTTAAATTATTAAAAAAATAATATAAAAACATGTTTTTTTGTTTTCAATTTTGTCTATAGATACTATTTTTTTTCTTTTTTATTGTGCTTGAGATGTTTTCTATGTTTTTCTGATGATAATTTTTTTTGGTTTAGAATTTCTACTATCTTAATAAAACTAAAAATAATCTATATATAACCTAGGTGCATATGTTGCAACTCATACCATATGTTTACATTTATTTATCTCAAAGTTAATTTATTTTGATAAGTAAAAACTACTTAAAATGTGATGCAATATATATGTATATTTCAATGTGCAAATATTTTGAACTGTGTTATTTATTTAATGACAAAAAACTAAAAATTAAAGTAGTTTTAACACAAAATAATTTGAACAAACATTACCAAAAGATATGTTCCATATCACAATTTTTTTGTATAATTTATTAAAAAAATACTGTTAAAACCGAACATAAAGTTAAAAATCAAACATTTTTTAGTTGCTCAAAACAGCCGTTCAAGAGATCGCTTCAAAAACTCAAGTTCAGCAAATGGCCACCGATATGGCAGAACGTACTGTTTTAAATGCGACCATGCAGGCCGTTAACGGCAAATCCAAAAAGAAGCAATGATCTAACCTGAAGCTGCGCGCAACAAATCTCTAGATCTAGTCTCCGCCATTATTATATTATTCCTCCTCTCAGCAAATATATAATATTTTGATGATGATAATTAACCACACCGTACGCGCAATGTTACATATATTTTAACCTAAAAAAATGTGGTGGTCCAACAAGAGGGGCCCCGAGAGGGAACCTTGTGGCACTGCCTGTCGTTTTTTTTAGCGTTTTCTGTAAAATATTCCCTGTATATTTTGTAAATTTTGGATTGTTGTGCACTATATCTAGATAATCTTGCCACCTTATTAATTATATTATATAACTATAACTCTCTTTATATATGTAACATTGTTTTTTATCTATATACATTTATTATGTGATATCTTTGGCAATGTTGGTATTATATGTATGTATATCTAATTTATTAATTTTGTAGTTGCTAATTTTTTATTTATATTTATTGTTCGAACAAGTTGACAATTTTAATGACATATTTTATTCTGCTTATGGGGCTTTATTGTTAATAGTTGAATTAATTAATTTTTGTTATTCATTATGCACACTATTTATTTTTGCATTTTTTATTAGCAAAGGGCTTTAAAACTTTATTTTAGTTCCACCCTGTATACTTACATATGTAGATTAAAATAACCTTTTCATTTGGTAAGTAGGTACTTAATCTACATATAAATTTAAGACAATTTTTTATTTAAAAATGTTAAAAAATACACTTATTTCATACATAAAAATGTTAATAATTATATTTTAAAAATAAACCGGATTTTAGCTTGCCTTTATGTGCCAAAAAATTTAAAAGCAAAATCATTAGTTTCTCATTTTTATGTAGATTGTAGGGATATTGAAAAGGTTATTTTAAATTGCCCTGTGGTAGTGCAAATATTATATAAATGACGCATTTTATTTTTATGTGTTTAAATTTTGCTTGGCATTTAAAACAACCAAAAAAAACAAAAAAATAAATTTATATCTACAAGTACAGTGTGACACAACTGTGAGTACGAAACTGTACACTCTAAAGAATAAAGTACTGACATTGCAATATAAATAATTTAAAAAACACCCAAGTGCCTCAACAATAAGTTAAATAATTGAATGTTACTTAGTTAATTGTGGTCGTTTTGTAACGTGATTTTTTTTAAGCCTTCAGTGGCAACCTTTTTTTGTTTTTTTTATTGTATAGTTAAACTTAAATCAACATTCTCCACACCTGGTTTTTAGGTTAGTTTTTAGTACTTGACTGGGTGTCGATTATGTGTATCTAGCGTTAATATTTATCATTAGAATGGATTTTATCAAAAAATTCATGTTTATCAAACATTTTTAATATTACAAAAAAAATGGCAGTTATGGTGGATATGCTCAAAAATACCGTTTCAGATTTATGTAATATTGGTTTTTGGATTTATTAAATAATTTATTTTTATTTTTTGTGCTTTATTTATCCTAAAACACATTTTTAAATAACTAACCTAATGTTACCCTTTTTAAATTTTCTAATGCCTACTTCCACGCTGCGTCTTATTACTATATAATTATTTGGACGCTGCCTTTTTATATTAAACAAAAGTTAAGTATTAAGGTTATATCGCGCGTGAAATGTGAACTACTTATTAACAAAAACGTACCTATATATATGGGATATATATATATATATATATATATCCCACAGGGTTGAGTGGATATAATCCTGAGTCCCCAGGGAGGCTTGGGTTCAATTCCCAGTAGCAGAATATTTTGAATTGATATTCTTGATGTTGTAGAACAAGTTTTATAGTTTTTGATAAATTATATATTGTTAATATTACTAATAATGGTAACAATTGTTACCATTTAACCAAATTTAAATGTGGAGCAAACATGCAAAAACCGATAAATACTACCGATTCTTACTAATTTTGATAATCTTTTTTCACTTAAGTGCCAATTGTGCCAATTGTGCCAATTGTGCCAATTGTGCCAATTGTGCCAATTGTGCCAATTGTGCCAATTGGCACAGCATTTTAAGGAAAAAACCGAAACAGAGACAACCCAACAGGAGCAAAATTTCCTAATAGTTTATAAATATTTGGGTGACTTGACTGGTACACATTTTTTGACAATATCTCAGAATAAGTTAAAATTGATTTATTGGCTTTTGCATGTTTGCTGCATAAATACACCCAAGAATATTAAATTATTAAAAAGATTCTTTTGTAAAAAAATGGGTAAATTTAAACAAACCTTGAAAAAATTACAACACAATCTTTGATTAAATATGTTTAATATATTTTCACTCAACAGAATAATAAAAAAATTGGCAGAACAAAAAAAATTAAATTATGGTTTTGGGGCGTTTTTCTATCCAAGTCTTAATATTTTGCACAGCCAAAACGTTTTTCTTAACCTTTTGCAAGTTAGGGTAATCAGAAAACAAATCAATTTGAGCCATTCCATTTAAGTAGTCCCATTGACTTACAAAGTAGAGATCAGCCCAAGTAAGACGGTTGATAGCCAAAAATCCTCCATTAGTTTTAGCTGCTTCATCCAGTTTTTTCAAGTAGTAAGGGATTTGTTCTGTGAACAAGGGCCCTTTGACGCTTTCTTTAATGGCTGCATCTGTCTCGTAGTGGTATCTGGCAATTTTAGCACGGAAATCAGCTACTGTATCAACTGTGCTATCAATTATTAAGTTTTCCCAGTCATCCTTACCAACGAGTTTAACTTTTTTGGCCAAGAATCTTGAAATAGCCACGCTTTGATGAGCCACTTTACCTTCATGCTCCAAAATTGGCATTTGTCCGTAAGGCATTTTTGATTTCAATTCCAGCCATTTTTGGCTGGGTACGCCGGGTGTGTATTCTACACGGAAATCTTCCCAGTCCAAATTACCATAACTGCAAAGAAACCTTAAAGGTTCTCCTAAAGCGGTGATGTTAAAATACGAGACTTTGTAAGCCATTTTTGAAGTAATACTTCGAGAGTTCGATGCACACTGGTTCGTTCTGAAACGGCGCGATGTATTTATATGCTTATAAGATTTGTTATCGGTTTTATTGAAAAAATATTCGATTAATAGGCCCAATCAAAAGAAAATCCTCCACTGACAACTCAACAAGTTAAAATAAAAAATACGTTCTATATCACGTAAACATGCTAAAATGTGATGCATCATTGCCGGCCGGCAGTTGTTTGCAGAGACAAGGTTGTTGCAAAATAAAATAAATATAACAAAAGTTAGAGAATAATGAGTTTTAAAATTAATTATAATTTATTTAATTATTTTGATAATTATAATTCATAGTAAAACTGTTGAGTCAAGCCACGTCAAGTGGGACCAGAAAATTTCACGAAATCACCGATTTTGAAAATAATCACATTATTGTGTAGTAGGCATGACGCATACCTATGTCACAGTAAAAAATTTGTTCTGAAATTCGGTTTTTTGAATTGACAAAATAGAATCTCTGGGACCACTCTGTATAATTGAATTAAATTTTACACACTATTGTAGCAATGTTTAGACTATAGAATGATCATTAAATTAAGGGAAATTTGTTTAAATAAAAGAGTTTTGCATACATTTTTAATAAACAATTGAAATTTTTTATGTGTTTTTCACGCTGAAAAAAAATTAATCTTGTGTCATAATATGCGGCAAACGTTTCTGTTTTATAAGATGTACTCAAAAATTCGTCCTTCATATGTCGTTCCGGAGATATTAAATTTTTTGTCCCGCCGTGCGCTTGATAAGTACGCGGCGCGCTTCGCTGCTAGAACAAAGTTTAAGTCACATAAAAATGCCGCAAAAAACTGATTGCAGTTTCTTGTTCGGGGCCCTTTGGTGACTTAAAAATTATATTTACCAAAATCCTAGCTGCTCCTCTTTTCGAAATTTTTTGAAAATTCATGATGTTTTTTGAAATTTTTGTTTATCTCAAAGTCTACCTTTGACAAAGTACACATTTGTACATCGATTTTTATAAAATTGGAGTATATTATTGAGGAGACTTAGAGAATACTTTTTAATAGTGTTCACATCATTTGATATATACAGGGTTAGCCAAAAATCACTTATTTTTAATAAAGCAAAAGCGTAAATTCATGGTTTTGGCATAACACGCAAAAATTTCGAAAAGAGTAGCAGATAGGATTTTGGTAAATGTCATTTTTAAGCCACCAAAGGGTCCCGAACAAGAAACTGCAGTAAGTTTTTGGCGGCATTTTTAGGTGACTTAAACCTCGTTCAGGCACACCGCATGCCGACGAGCTAGCACTGGCAGTGCCTAGCCTAGCAGCGAAGCGCGCTGCGTACTGATCAAGCGCACAGCGGGACAAAAAATTTAATATCTCCGGAATAACATATGAAGGACAAATTTTTGAGTACATTTTATTAAACAAGAAGGTTTGCGGCATATTATGACACAAGTTTAATTTTTTTTCAGCGTGAAGAACACATACAAAATTTCAATTGTTTATAATAAATGTATGCAAAATTGTTTTATTTAAACAAATTTACTATACTTAAATGATCATTCTATAGTCTAAACATTGCTACAATAGTGTGTAAAATTTAATTCAATTATACAGAGTGGTCCCAGAGATTCTATTTTTTCAATTTTACCGTGCTCTTAAGTTTGACAAAATTGTTAACCTTAATAACATTACCAAAAAAAAACGAATTTTAAAATATATTTTTACTGTGACATATGAGTCATGCCTACTACACAATTATGTGATTATTTTCAAAATCGGTGATTTCGTAAAATTTTCTGGTCGCACTTGACGTGGCTTGACTCTGTTGTTTTATTTATTTAGGTACAATGTGATTGCAAAAATTCCTGCAAATAAATGTCCGACCGTTTACTTTATTAATAACCCAGTAAGCACAAGCTAGCCGGCCCGCATACATTTTGCCGAATCGGCCGCGTGCCGGCCGACACATGTATTTGTTCCGGCGTGTAGACCGGGCATATCAGCCTGGCCGAATGTCGGCTATGTTTACTTGGCCGAGTGTCGGCTGTTTATAGTTGGCCGAGTGCCGGCTCAACAGCCTGGCCATTCAAAAAAAGACTACAGACGTTCTGGATAGGTATATCCTATAAGTTCAATACTGAAATTCTTAATAAATGCTTTCAGTCCTTGATAATATTTAGGGCTGTAGTTTAAGCGTTGGTGTTTTAAATTAAACTTATAGTCACTGTCCAGAAAATGTTTATAGGAAACAGAAGCGGTCTTAACGTAAATATTGTCTATTATTTTTGTTGTATTTAAACACTGTTTCCACAAATCAAACTTTTCGGGAATCGATTAAATTTAATGTTTTTATTTAAAGGGTTTTTCTTGGACTGGTTGTCCAAATTGCATACAAATATGCCACACCGCATTTTAATAAATGCAAATGGCACTATACAATCTAAAACACAAACAAAACAAGTTAACGCAACACAAAAACAATAATAAACAAACCTAACAGGTTAACCTAACGCAATAACAATAATTTGAACGGTGAAAAGTAATTCGAACCTTACCGAACACAAAAACGACAAGTTAAACAAAAAGTAGAGCAAGTTAACATCCAAAAGCATCGCAAAAACAAGAATTTTAGCAGCAGATAATTAAAAAGATTTAAAAACACTCATCAAGTGACGTCATTAAGCCCCGCCCAACATGCGCACCATCCTATCTTAAGGTGTATGTATCCTGCACACTTCGAACTAAATATTGCAACAAATCGCTATTTATAGTTAGCTCGCGTGCGTAAGCAATCGTGAGATGTATCGCTTATGCCGCGGTATGCCGTATTCCAGCCGTAAGCGGGCCGGCTAGGGCAAGCCGAAGGATTTTGCAGCGACATGCCGTATTCTGGCTGACTTCGGTTAGAACGTGGCTAAACGGTACCGGGGTAATATAACGCGGGCTTTAAGCGGGCCGGTTGGGGCAAGCCGAACCTCCGGTCAACCGCCTATGCCGAGCGAAGGCCGACTGTTTGTGAGTGTTTGGTGCTTACTGGGATCTGATAAAACTAAATTTCAATGTTCCTGCACATGTGACTCTTTTAAATGGTGAACACAACATTGTTTTTACAAAGAAAAAGAATATTTCAAAAAATAGTGTCATTTTGCTTTGCATGGACACCTACGAAAAATAAGTTTCTCTAGGCCGCCATTGACGTCAAATCTGCCCCTGTTTGTAAATAGTTTTTTTATTTTTCAAGTTTTCGGTACAGTTTAATTAAATTATGTTTTTATACCGTTTCGTTTTTGTCCCAACAACTTGTTGGCAACAAGAGCAACAACGCCGTAACAAACGCGGTAATAAAATAAAAATGGTCATAATTTGTAATCACTAATTTTATAGAATTAAATGGGGCAATTTAATTATTTAAAAAATTAAATAAAAACATGTTTTTGTTTTCAATTTTGTCTACCTATAGATAGTTTAATTTTTACAATTTTTTTCTTTTTTATAATGCTTAAGATGTTTACTGTGGTTTTCTAATGATAATTTTTTGTCTACCTATAGATAGTTTAATTTTTACAATTTTTTTCTTTTTTATAATGCTTAAGATGTTCGCTGTGGTTTTCTAATGATAATTTTTTTTTGTTTAAATCATTTTTTAGAATTTCTACTATCTACTATATACATACGTACATATATTAGAGGGTCATTCACTTAACTTCTTCATTAGAAGTTTATAAAGAACGGAAAAAGATATCGATTTAAAATTTGTATAGCAATTATATTATTATTATTATTATTATTTTTTTAAATTATTTTCAATATATATGCGTTATCACTTCGGTTAAACCGTAAAATTCTATAAATACTCAAAATTTGATTATTTTTTATTTTTAACAGTTTTTTAATTTTAAGTGCACTTATCATGATATCACCATATGGTGTTACTAATATGTCTGAATTACCACTAATTGTAATGTTAAAAAGTTAATTTTTGGTGTACCTGTTAACTAAGGAGCACTATCGAAAGCCATTTGAAAATTTTATACAGGGTATCTGGTATTTACCTTAACTTTTTTGTTACTTTAAATAGCAATAACTTTCTTATTTCAAACGAAACTACTAAATGTTTACATTATTCGACACAAAATAATTTTTTCTATTGAATTATTGAATTAATTGATATATTTTTCCGTTCTCCATAAACTTCTAATGAATAGTTAGGTGAATTACCCTGTATAACCTAGGTGCATGGGTTGCAAGCCATCCCATATGGACCATATGATATGGTTCTATTTACTTTTATTTATCATAAAGTTTATTTATTTTGATAAGTAAAAACTATAGTTTTTACTATAGTATTAGAAACTTAAAAAATGTTGGAAAAGCAATAACACCACCAATTCACTTTTAATAATTTTTATTTATCGAACGGCTACTCATTACAGGCGACCGATCAAGACTGACTAATCGAACGACTGCTTGCGGTTCATAAATCATCTGATTACACTGTGCGACAATTTTCGGGTCATCGAAATCAAACCGCACCGGACCATTTTTTTCTAAAAATATACCTATCCAATAGCAAAACCCTCGCTGGGTTTGTAAAAGTTAGCTCGAATTTTTTTTTATGGCCATTTGTATTTTCGAGCTTCATATACCCCAGTTTAGACCTATAAATCGATTTTTTTTGCATATATTCGATTTATATCGTCAAGATTTTTTGTAAAAATGTAGTTACTGCACAAATAAACTCATTTTGTGAACAACCTATATCCCAAAAACCCAATTTTTGGGACCAAATATTCGAATTTTTTTTTTTTTTTTTTTGATAATATTTAAAATTTCTTGCTACTTCTTCTGGCAAAAATCTTGTAAAGTATACCAAAAGAAGTAATTTATAAAATACGCACACAAAACTGAACAAGATTTTCCAAAATATTCATCTTTTCACACTCAACACCAAATATTTTGCCGAAAAATCTGTAGGAAAAAATTGAATAGATAAAATAGAATTGTAGAAAAGTACAGAGAGTTTGATTTTTTATTTTGTATTAAT